GTCGTACATTCAGAGCGTTCTGCTCGACGAACCGATTTCAGGCTCGTCCACGTAAACGGAGACCATTTGCTCGATCTAGGCGTCATCTCGGCGTTTGCCCATCATAAATAGAGCACTGCAGACTAAGGCGAGATGCCCGTTGACGTTGAGTGGTGACCTGCGATCAGCGCGCGTCGATATTTTCGGGGTTAATGTCGACATTAAGGCAGAGGTTACTCGGACGCCTGAACCACATTTCCTCCTAATAATTCACTAGCTTCTTCGTTTTCAACCGTTGGCATACATAAACGTCATTTCGTCTACTATGAACTGATGGACCTCAGGATGAACCGTCCACATTTGACAGGTCAGCTAAGCAAGAAGTGATGTGTCTCGGGTTCACAGGCACATTGACATATTCAGGAAGGTTTCGTCAGGGGACGTTTTTAAGCCTTCAAACGGCCGTTTGAAAATCTACAATTGGCGAACCAATCAGAGCGAGGCGAAAGCGGGTCAGACGCAGATGGTGTCGCTACACGTAAATCGAAGCAAAAGTGGGAAGAGGGGCAACGGAACGACTACAATCATGACGTGGTAGATTTTGATGATCGTAGCGAGGTATGCAAGCCTTTTATCCAACAGCGTCTTGTTGGCGACAGTAGGGGAGGTTCTTAGCGGCGACAGTAGAGCACTTCAAATGGAGGAACATTTTACACCCGTTGCACGAAGTTATTCTTCAGAAGTGCTAGTTGAATATTTGCCACTCTTCAGGACGTCAGTCGGCGGCGGTCTGTTTGTAGACGGAGAGAATAGATATTATTTTTTCTGAGACGCTTAAACAGTACAATCCTGTTGGTCATAACCAATCCATTAGCTAATCTCAATAACCGCGGATTTGCGATACAGGTCGGTGGCCAGATGCGACTCTTATGAGTGAAACAACGATCTTCTCCTTTAAACAAGCCTTGTTAAAGGGCATTTCTTGTTGTCAAAGGTAAAATGTAGCGTGCGTAGTTGTCAAGTAAGGTCATGCAATCAAATCGTTAAAAAGGGCATCGCAGAGCTGATGCAATAAAAACTATACATAAAACCAACATCCTGCTCAACAAGGCAGTATTCCTTGTGATTAGGCTGTCTTTCTACACAATTATCCACCTGTGGCTACATAATGCATGCTCGATGCTCGGTCATGTCAATTAGCAAATTCACTATGTAAATTCAGTTCATGTGGCGGTGTTTTCCGATAACGTTCGACTCTGAGCAACCTGCGGAGGTACCTATCGTCTACCGTTTTCGTGCTAGAAATGCTCCTCACTAATAACGCAGTTCTACAAACTCATGAAGACTTCAAAGAAATCGGCTTTTTGATTCTTAAGAGCTGCTAGTCTTGGCGAACGCGGACTCAGTCGACTATTTTGTTTAACTTGGCCGAAAAGGTCAAAAAAAAGGCCAAAAAGCATAGTGTTAAGAGGCGAGTGAGGAGGACGGGGATGGCAGATAGCAACTGTGATGTCGGACATAAAAAACGAACGAAAGTAAAACACGTATTTGTTTGTTAGACGAAGAAAATTTCGCTGTTCGGTTAAGGGTTATTAGGTTAGCAAATATTTTATAATTTCCACTGAACTATAGGGTAACTGTCTTTTACATCAAATGTTATTCATAGGTAAATCGAAATGATAAAAGAGATAATTTTGTATTTTTTCGTCATTAAAATCTTTGTTCTTTGGCATTGTGGTGAAGTAGAAAGCCCCTTGGTGGTTTCTTGTGCACAAAATTCGACCTTGCAACTTATAACTAAGTATTCGATGAACACGGGCTTTTGAAGTTGTCCAAAAACATGACGCTCACGTACGATTTCATTTGTTTATAAAGCATAGAACTGCTATGAATCTCTTGGCGCGTTTCAAGCTTGCTGGACGCATGGTATCATAACTAATCGTTTAATTGAGGGTTCTCACCTGAAGGGGGCAGACAAATACAGATATGCCTATCAGAACTCTGAGATTTCAAAAGCTAGTGGAACTTAAAGATGCTCACGCTTTTCAAGTCGACGGAAGCTTCGAGAACTTCAAATTGACTTTTGACCGCTTAGTACTCTTTTCAAGAGCCCTAAACACAATGCATCAATAACGTAACCCCGAAGAACGTAACCTGTGCCAGCTAAGGACGTCTCTAACGTCTGCCATCTCATCACCACATCGCCTTTAGCTAAATCTCATGGGGAAAGAATTTGCCTATCAAGAGCAGTAGTAAAACTAACCTAAGGGGGAGAGGGGGGTCGTTCACACCTACCGAACACGAAGAGCAAGCGGCAATAAGCAAAATGGTGAGCGCTTGCGCAGCGAGTCTAGAAATGTTTTCGCTCGATAGGCGTCTGTCTAGTGAAAACGGTTTTAGTTCCTGCTCGTCGAATCAATCGAAGCGGCGTCTAAAACCAACGTCCTTCTGCAGACATCTTCTCAGACAATCTAAGCTAATATAACGCTCATGCACACTCATAAGACATATATTCATACATAATTCCGCTGCACCTATGCTCATCGATATAGGAGCTTACGTGGCTGTCTTGATAGGCGAATCGATGGCCTGGTTTATATATTAACGTATTTTGAACTTCGGTCAGTGAACGGTCGAAAATGAACCTAACCGCAAAGCGATTCTCGACTACCGTAAATATTCAGCTATATATACCTTAATTGGTGGCCTAGATTTAGGTATCGTGCAGATTAGTTAGCCTGGAGTTGGTTGGGTAACCTGGCCTAGTCGGCCTCATTTTTAAAATTTGAAGCATATACGATTTGCTTACTTGCTCAATTTCACACCAGGTTTGTAACATTATTTTCATGCATTCACTTATTAAATGTCATAAATCACACACATACGCCTTGTATGGCCATCATCTCAGCAGGTGTTGTCCATTGTCATAGCAGTATATCGTTTACGCATGACAAAACTTCTAGATATCCCTTGGATCATTGTTGTATCATTTAACCATCAGTTAAACACGACTACGTGATGTGATCTTGTTATTGTCGACGTCATATTCATGCCTGGCTGCCCTGGATGAACTGTCGTTTTTTTTTTAAGGACAGGTGAGGTGCGATACGATATTGGTTACTGCTGCCGTACTCAATGTATGTTTATATCTTTCTATTTTCCGAAGTCGTCTTCTCCTTGTCAGCTCATCTGCACTTGTGTAAGCTGGCAATCGAATTCAAGAGAACGCGATGACCGTGTTGGCGTTTCGCCCATACCCGATGAAAGCTCGCAGTAGAGTGCTCAGAAGCCGTCGATTGTATGGCGATATTCGTTTAACGCTTCCCACATCGATTCCATTGTCTAATAAGCGCGTCCTGGATGTTCGACGTGAGCGTTCGAAGTCTGTCGGCGGTCATCAGAAGGAGATCAACAAGGACATCTCTTGTCACAGCATCTGTGCTTGTTATTTACAGTAACGAGTAGCTAAACAATAATGTTGTGTGCAATATAGTTAACATATGCATATGAGATCGCCCTATATTAGCACCTATTGACCTTTTGTTCTAAGTATTTATTGAAAAAACCTTTTCTATGTTCACTGTTCACTAATCTAACGACCAGCTAATTTTCAACATACGTCCGAACACGCGTATCGTCTTAGGTACATATTATAGAATGCAATTCTGCGATCTGTATATTCACGCCATATGGTTGTTGATGGTAGAGATACTTACGACGTTTAATGCGAACGGTATAAATATACCATGTCAAGGCCATCTTCCTAAGGCCTTGTGAAGGAGAACAGTTAGTCAACCCTAACGATTTTCGATTGATATTCTGTCTCTTCTTACCTCATCCGTGTGTCAGACCAGAAAGCACTTTCAGCTATCCTTTTTAGGCCATCAAAACCATCTCTTTTAGGTGTAGCTCAAAAGAATTGTTCCGTAAAAAATATTCCGAGGTGGGTCACGCTAGACTTATTTGGGGATTGCTTCAATAAGTCCATGAGAACGATAGTCTTAATCGCAATTTCTTATTATTTCTATCCCGTTCTTTTCTTCCTGGTTATTCATTTCTAGTGGTTATTTTTTTCCAGCGCCGAGAAACATTTCGGTCAGCGTAGCAACATGCTTGTTAGTTACGGTTACCATCGAAACGCACCCAGAGAGACGCACATTAACTATTGACACTATGCCACCTTTATTATGGCGTATGTAGCGATCCTATTGCGTTTAGCATATAGTTTTGTGGATACACGTTGACTGGATACTTGTAAAAGAACATTTTTCTGTCAAATGTTTACCATATATTTTGGAGTTACTGTTTTGGCAACGGACAACTCGAATGTTCGAAATACCATAACGTGTACTTTCGGTGTGCTTTTAGTGATCCATTTTGCTTTTATTTCTACATGTCTTTCGTTTGGCTCCTTTTGAAATCCGTTGTTGTTTCACTGCACAGTGAAAGGAAATTCTATGGCAATTTTAGTTAAAGCGAAGGTGGAAAAACGGTTATGTTTGAAAGCTAGTCTGTTTCGCCTTCTGCCGACCGCAGACAGCTCCGATGTAGTACAAAATGTTAGTGCCGTGGACAGACAGGACTTCACAACTTAGCGGTTCGCTCAAAATTGCTCTACGGAGTTCAACAACAGCAGCGTGGACTTGGAGGGTCCATCACGCCTCAGTCGACCACCTGAGCTCAAGGCATTTTTGAAGAAGGGCAGCCGGTAGCAAACAACTAGTGAATTTGAAATTTAACAGCTCTACCGCCACTAGGCAGGCACAATGACAGGTTTCTATGCAGAATTGTCAACGGTAATAGAAGGTAGCGATCGCGTATTGATATGAAGCAGAAAAAAGTGAGCAACTACCAACTAAATAATGAGATAGTTACTGTTTTGCCAGATCTCCATCTTGAAAAGTAATTATTTGCATTGGGTCCTATGCATTGGGAAACGCCTGAAAATAACATAGCGGTGAACGAAGACACGTACGTGGCCTAGTTGCATTGAGCGAACGAACTAACTAACTAACATCTTTCTAACAGAAGACACCTAATAGATGAAACAAAGATATTTTATTCCATGCCAAAGACGGTGAAAGCCATGCTGCAATAGCTTGAGTAGAAGGTTTCCTTACGCCCACCATGGCATATAGACCTCGCTTCGATAGATTATCACCTTTTCTGATCACCGGCAATCGAATCAGTAACTGGACAACCGCCAGTGAAGAGGTTCTCCGAAGCTGGCTGGACAAGTTCTTCAGCACAAGGTCTAATAACTTCTGGCGAGAGACAATAAATATATTAGTTGACAGATAATGAAAAACTTATTTGCTGCTGAAAAGAACACTGGGTTCTTTGGCGGGTGTAAAAGGCAAAATACGTATTTTCCAACTTAGTACGCCTATATAAGTTGTTTATAATTTCTTAGTTATTCTCCTCACTCTAGTGTTAAGTTAGAAGTGCTGTATCATCATATCTGGGTTATTCAAAAAATGGTTAAAACTTACATAGGGATCTGTATTCCCAGTTTTATACGCGTGTAGCATACTTGGTTCGGGGGCGTTCAACGTTGAATTTCCTTTTCCCTGGAGACAAAAGCAACCCTAAACACAGGAAACAGCAACAAAGAAACATAGTTGTGATATTCGCAAAAAAAGTAGCGTAATAATAGCGTGCAGCTGCGAATTAAATATTTGTTACGGATCAACCTCATTACGTGATAGAATATGACTGTATCATAAGTTAACAGAAAAACGTGCTATGGTCGTGGTGTAGTTAGTTAAGTGGACAGCTTGTCAATGTCGGGGTCCAGCTCAGAAGGTCAAGTCGCTCACTTGGCAGTGTCTTTTTCATGCTTTCAGCTAAAATGTCCGTGTTGTTGAGTGTTCCATTTGGAAAACAAGATACGAAAGAACTTCTTAGGTATATAATGATCTCGATAGGAAAATATTCATGTAGGATGTGTGACCAAAAGCTGGCTACCACAACAAATAAGTTCTGCAAAACTGTCTTTTTCTGGAATATTCTATGTGCTTCGATAAGATAGACGTCAAACGTGACAGCGTTTTGTGAAGGAGAACGTCGCAAACTCAGAGTTGAGCGTCGTAGACTAGTTGTTGTCGTCCGACGCTTACTTTTTACCATCGGCAATTTGAATAGTTTAAAGTAAAATATGACACAGCGCATCACTGGGCTCGCCAGTATGTGGGATGCTGAACGGACAAATAAATATCCTACTGGACGATTTCAATCTGCCGGATTAAGTTAGAGGTTACAGAGTTGCCCTCGCAACCTTGGGAACGCCAGAGACGAAAATGATTCCAATGAACTTCTCGATCGAGGCGTCCTGTTACCCCACACAAATTCTATTCGCAATATCCTTTGTATTCATGGAGGGTCAGATAAGGATTGGCATTGTTTCCAGTCCTTCTACGATCACCAACAGCAAAACTATAAATCGATAAAGATGGGCCTAGGCTGCACTGATTCGAATAGATTCTGTAAGGTGTACGGTAGTATCGGTGACAAAATGTGATCAAAACATCAAGCGTGTATCAGGCAACTTTCTTGGAAGCTTCAAGAATTTGAAGACTTCAAGAAAGAGTCTAAAGGACATCAAAAATAGATCGATATTGCTTTATAGAGTATACAAGGGAATTGTACGAAAGGAAGAAGAATACTAAGAAAGCTTGCAGAGGAAGGAAGTCATTCACGGATGTGCGCTTTCGCCTTCCAGTAATCCAAATGCAACCGCAGGTGTCGTTTCACATAAATCTAGACATATAAAATTGAGATGTGCGCTAGAATCAATGTACGGGCCAGATCCAGGTTATGCAATTCAGGATTTGGAACATATATATACATAAAACACTAAGAAAATCATCATACCTATTGACGTTCGATTTAACGTTCTAATTTAACTTTATAGCCTAAAGTTAGTGTGAACAGTGCTAGAGTAGATTGTTGATACTGTATTATCTAAGTGCTAAGGGGATGTCCTACCCCGCATCGCAATAGTGTGTGTAGTTGTCTGAAGTATGTGGTGAGGAAAACCCCTGACTCGAAAACCAAGTAACACAGCGATGCAAACGTAGGATTGATTCGCTTTATGTTGGGATGTTTCGAAGGCCTGGTGACGTCGTTTTCCCTAATACGGCTACTGGACCGTACGCATACCCTACACTAGCGTAATCAGGTTGCTATTACAAATTTTGGAAGGTCATCGACAAGGATAGCGAACTCCGAAAAACCGATCAAACAGTCCGTGGGGTAGTGTTAGTACAATTCTGCTTCCAAGCTGACTTTTGGAAAAAAAAACCGTAGATTGTATTCTGTCGTTATCGTACGGCTTCAGTAGTGCTAATGCGTTATCATAAAATTTGGACGCTTCCAGTTGATTACGAAAGCTGTCATGTGTAACAGGGTTGAAGAACAGTCTGAAATCGATCAGGAACGCTGCGCATTTTTTTTGTTACAAAGCTTTTCTTAAGATTTTTTTTCATCTTGGTCGCCCTTTAAAGTTTTGCTCGTTAGTTAGTGATTATTTTCGTCGTATTTAAGTCGTTCAAACTCAGCTAGAACAACTACCCTGGACTACTTGGCTGTCGGTATAACTCTGATACCCTTCAATTTATAAGGACATATGTTCAACTACTTTATTCGATACGTGTAAGTAGTCGATAATTTTATTACTACCTTCCAGTTTGCATGCCGCTATTACCCACACGTGATTTCCTGTAAAGGCGACACAGTTCATTAATATCTTCTCCTAACTAAAAGGACCAAAGCTCTTTGGCCTTAAAAGTTAGCCTGGAACAAATCTTGGAACTGGAAAAACCTAATAGTGCTCAGAACATAATCGTAGATAACAAAAACACACTACATCGTATTATTTAAATGTGACTGGTACGGATCTTTTCATAATAGAGTAGCAAACAATGAGCCAGTCGGCGTCCAATCTGTATATGTCAAGTTGCTGGACGTAACACACTACGAGAATGTTCGTAATACACCCTAAGTTTAAGAACTAACCAGTTGTCACTTAATGGCCATGATCTTTTTAGTCCAATATCTCAGAAGTATTCGTTAGCGTGTTATAGAGGGTCCATTATGTAAAACGACTGTAAATAGTTATTTGAGTTCCCTTTTTGATTCCTTCAAGATTGTTCATATGTAAAAGTAAGCGAAATCTGCAATGGTCGTTGCACTTGCTTCCGCTAGAAAGTCGTCCAACTAGGACAAAGCTGAACAACGCAGTCCATTACAAAAAGCAATATTAGTTCTCTCCTCTAGGCCGGTACGGCCTGATACTCCGTAGGAAGAAGAGCTTTGCGTCGACAGGGTAGCACCTTTATACAGAGAAACAATTGATGACTTTAATTTCAAAGGAATTTCCCAACGGTGTTCGATGTACCAGCTACTATTTCGGCTGCTGCTGTTGCTTTGTATATTATTTTGCCCTTTTACTATAAATGACATAAAAACTGGTTTCCTTCCAGAAGCGAAAATTTCTTCTACATTTCTAGTTACACATAATCCAAAAGATCAATGTCATAGGGCTATACGTTATACCATATAAAATTTTTGCAATGCAATATTCTCTAGCAATGACAGATTTCACCAATCAGCAGGCCGATTTTCCTTCCCCTTGAACTAATCCAGTCCGTTTTTAAAACCACTACGAATCGGTTGCTATCGAAGTAGATAAAATATAAAGGTTTGCAACATGATGCTAAACGTTGCCTTCGTTCCGAACACAGAACGGACCACTATCAGTATAGTCTGGAAGGTGTGTTAAAACAGGACTGCGAACTAGGGCGAGAAGTAAACCGTACTGATTTACGATTCGAATGGTTTCCTTTATCTAAGGCAACTTTAAAAGCCAATGAAACAATGCCCGCGTACAAGGAAGGTCAGAGCATCACGAGTTCTAGAGTTGGTCCATGGCAAAGATAGACACCGAGAGGACGAAGAGCAAGCGACGCAGAGCTCTAGGAATGTCCTTATTGAATTTCCTGCTCACGGCGACATGTGTATAGAGAGGGGGCCAGTGTCACAAATACGTCAGGTGACTCTCCCCAGCGGCCGGTCCTCTCGAAACATATAAAGCTGCCCTGTTGTTTGAGTTTACGATCGTAGCAATCTAGGACCGAATTGAAAATGAAATACCCGCTGAAGCGCGAATCGTGAAACTAACTTCAGACTCTACGCAATGACAAAGAAAAAAGCACTTCGAGAAAACACAGTGACGCCATCTGCAGCATCATTACATCACAGGCGTGCATATAATTTGAATATGTCGTTTACTATATTTAAAGATACATCGTAAAGCTAGAAAGATCAAAACACTGAAACAAACAAACAAACAAAGAACGTATTTCTAGTAAAAAAAAAAATATTGTAATATCACTAGTGCGGGAACAAAGAGAACTATTGATAGTGGCTCACATATGCCCTGGAACTCAAACTGGGTAAAACTGGTATTAGGCACGTTTGAAGGTATGTTCGAAAACCTAAAATTTGATATAAACCAAGAATGGCACATCTTTAGGCAAAAAAGGGTCAACTCATACAAGAGCCTTTTTTTTAATAGTCATAAGTGAAATCAATCCTAAAGACGACCGTTCATCCAATCCTTTCGTACATCCTTGATAATTTGTCAAGAGGCCATCTCCTATCTATCGAAAGCACCGCCCCAAACCCGTAAGTTCTGTTGAACTACAGGCTTAAGGGTGGGGGGAACAAATTATACGTCCTTTGCTTCACCGCACTTATATTACCATTTATTGATGCGTGTTTTGCTATTACCGTTGGCAATTTGTGTCATTTCCGCTTGTCAGCGTTCTTTCTCCGCCAAGGAGATAAGCCGCTGTTTATCATGAGCGAGACGCCTGGCGCACCTACTAAAACAACTCCCTGGTGATTTTACGCCGTATTTCGCCTTATTCGCTTCTCAACTACATAAAATAGAAGAAGTGCAACGCCTAACAGGCCATCCACAAAAAGCACCGCAAGAGCGGGTTCCGTAAAAGACCTTCGGTAGCACGTCCATCGGACGAGATGACATCGCTTAAGGAGAAATACCTATCATCTATCTCTTTCATCACCAGGATCAGAGAAGGCGAACTCTGTCTCTGATGATGACGGATCTGCTGATGGAGAAAAGGAGGAAGGCAAGTTACCCAGAACTTGCTAGAAACCTTGCTAAAAAGCCGGCAACAAATACACACACACGCGTGCATTGCCAGTTAAGAATAGCGCTGTGCCCGACTTTGTAAATGCAAACCGAATAATACGTTTCTTTCTGCGGTTTGAACAGGTAACAAAAAGATTACACGAATCGAAACTGCCGTACCCTGATTGCCATGGTCGCGAATTTCGTGCCACGGCATCTGGCCTTTTCGGCGATTCGGCTTTTGTAAGTATTATGCAAATGTAACACTGTGGTAGGCGCACAAAGCTTTGACAAACTCGATTGTTTAAACGCATACGTCTACAACAAATGCCCACTTTGGGTTGATTTTGAATTCAGTGTGCGCGTTAGTGTTTTCATACGGATTGCAACAAGATTGTACTATAATTATCGTGCGATAAGGCCAATGTC